AGAAAATGCACCAAAAATGCGGTTTGAGCAAAAATTACTTCGTCAACTTTGAAGTGGATTATGCTAAACCCACGAAAACTTCGACGACTTGAATTTTCAACCTTTTGAATTCAATTTATTTCTTATGATTCGAAGAGTTTGTTGTTTTCAATTACCTAGTTACTATAGAAATAAGTCAAAACTTGTGAAGTTTGAGAACAAATAGTTTAAATATATTACTCTTTCCGGTTCTTAATATAAGACATTTTGATTTTGTCATAGATTTCACCTAATACGCATTTTACTTGATGAAAAAATCTTGAAAATATATTTTCAAATTCGTTGTATTCTTTTGATTGTTATGAAACATTTCAAAGGTTTTTTAGTCAATTAAGAATACGTAAGAGGTTAAACCTAGGACAAATCAAAATAGACCAGAGGAATTATTTAAAAGGGGTTTTTTTTTTTTGAATTTGTATTTGTTTGACCTCCAAGCGGATAGCACAAAAAGAAACCGCTGAAGTCGGTAGCCAGTTTGTTTGTAAAATCATCCATTAAAAAAAACTATAGATTACGAGTTTTATGAAACAAATTTGGCTGCTAAAGTGCTAATTATGGGATGTTATTAGCAGCTCACTTGGCAGTTTTCCATTGGTTCGAAGTTTCACCACTAAGAATTAAAACCATGGTTGAGGTAATTTAAATTTTTTTAACCCTTTCCTCCTTTTATTGTACTGAAAAAAAAAACCATGGTTGAGACATAATATCGTATGATCGCAATATGCTTGTATAGTTTTTAGGGTTTAGCCTCATTCCTTATACAGAAAAACAAAGAATAGAAATATTAATAGAACTTTTGAAGAGACAAAAAACACGATGAAAAAAAAAAAAATCCAAGAAATGCTGGTTTGGAAAACAATACATCAGACTGGAATTTCGTTTCTATAAATTACCATGCTCAGCCAACCAACATACATAATGTTTGTACTCTTCGATATTTTTCAAGATTTTAATATGATTACCAAGAAATTCCTTTTTCTATTATAGATGTATAGATCTAAGATGATGTTGACAAAGAAGAAGAAACCTAGACTCTTGAAGCTATCAGATAAGTGTCTCTTTTAAAATCCATTTGAACTTGAAAACTAGTGAAAAATACTTGTCCCACGTTGGAGTTGGGAAGTCACTTGATCAACATATATACCGCATGTGCCTATTCCCTTTATTGCCAACTGATTTTGAGGTGGAACCACATGTGGACTTATATGGGCCTTCAAGATGGTATCAGAGCGGATTTTAATGACTTTGTGGGTATACTTTGACCGATCCAACAGTTTTCTTGATTTGACTTTACCTGTATTTGGCTTTGACTGCCCGACAATATATCCGAGGACTTTGATTTACCCGTATTAGACTTTGACTGGTCCGGTAGTGTATCCGAGGATTTTGATTAACCCGTAATGGGCTTTAAATGTTCAAAAGGGCCTTGTCCAACCCCTTTGGGTTTGAGAGGGGGTCTTAAAACCCCTTTGAACTTGAAAATAAGTGAAAGACACTTGTCCCACATTGGAGTTGGGAAGCCAACTTGATCAACATATATCCCCAATGAGCTATTCCTCTCATTACCAAGTGGTTTGAGATATATACCCCATGAGGTACTCCCTTCATTACTAATTGGTTTTGAGATGGAACCACATGTGAGCTTATATGGCCTTTAAGAGTCTGATTGAATTGTCAGCTTCAGCTCAAGGAGGAACACTTGATGGACCAGTTTAACTGGTCACAAACACGAGGAATAATAAAGCCTAATCATAATTTGTATCTACAGATTACAAAATGTAGAAGATTTACCCTTTTCGTTCTTGAAAATGAGGAGAGTAACATATATGGAAGAACTACCGCGTACAATATCTCCAAGGAATTTGGCAACATGATGTTTGTTGATGCAGGAAACCTTCCTATGTGAGATTTTGTTGATTTGGGGGGTGAAGGATAGGAGCCTAGGAGATTTTGTTGATGGACAAGTATCAAATAATACCCCGCACTCTTTATTCAATAACCATCAGACAAATCAGTTTTGAGCAATTTTTAGTTGGAGAGTTCCAAAGATATTCCTCATTTCTCGTTGCTGGTCGTCGCTCTAGTAATGTGCGTTCTCGAAGCGTTTGTGTCAGTTTTTGTGTTTACATGACGACAATAATATAATACTCTCTCCGGTTCTTAACATATTGCATTTTGATTTGTCCTAAGTTTCACACAGTATATATTTTTAATTAAAAAAAATCTTAAAAATATTTCATGATAATAATCACAAAAATACAACGCATGTAGAAATATATTTTTAAGATTTTTTTACAAATTCAAAATTCATACTAGGTGAAACATAAGACACATCAAAATACCTCATATTAGAGACCGGCTGGGAAAGTACTGTTTATCTGCCAATGGATGAAGTACTAATTAAGTTGTAGCATGACATAAATTTATGATTATGAAATTTGCTATATAATGATGAGAGATCACTGGTGAGAAAACGTCGATGCGAGGATGAGGCCAGACTCATAATTGTCTTTTGTAATCATTTGATTCGGGAAATATTGTTTCTTATGTGGGATCTTATGTTACATTGCTTCGTTTGGGAAATATTTCTGGTTGTGTCTTGCGAGCTTTCTTCTATATATGAAGAGGTTTAGTTTCTTTTCTTTTTTTTTTCTTTCATCTTTTGTTGGTATCGAACATGTTTTGTGATCTTATATCTCTAATAATCCAATAAGTTTAAGCATTTATTCGTGTTATATGTCAAACATCCTTTTGCGAAGCACTTCGGAGATTGGATTCATTATTCACATGCTTTGCCCGTTTATTTTCTTTTCCAATTAATGTTAACTAATTGTGCTCGAGTCCCAAGTTGGCCAAGGTATGACTAGTTTTCTTCCTAATCTACTTAAAAACTTTGTTGAACGTTGTAAACAATGTTATTAGGTCATTTGTATCCACTTTTGAGAGTTTTCATAATGTTAGAGACCCTTGTTTAGATTGACAATACGAAAAGACATATTTTCTCCGTTCTAAAATTGTATTAAAAAATTTTAAAATGGACAATAATTGTGGGAAGAAGTATATTGTACTAATATTGCAACACATATGGCAACTTATAAGAGTTGTTATCTCAGTTGTGTGCCATTTCAATAACGACCTTCTTAATTTTGTGCCTACATAACATGCCATTTGTATCTTTGATAATTTAAGACTTTGTACCACATTAGACCTCATGCATTTGAGTCCTTTTACGTGCTGTCTCTTATTAATTTATTGATATTGTGATCGATTTTTTCTTCTTGAAATTTCCCTGTAGTGTAATTTGGTTTTTTATTATGTATTTACTCTTTGTTTTCCATATTCTTGAGCATGACATATGCCCAATGAGCAATTCAACTAAGATCAAACAAACTTTCCTATACGTATGATTACTTTTATTGTTTAGTTTTTTAGTGCAGGATCTGAACACTACATGAAAAAACTGCTGCATGCAAATTAATATTGTCCCTGCGCAAAATATGAACAACATTCTCACAAAGCTGAACTAGAAGACACTGCATTGCAGGATTGAGTGTTGAATGTTGTTATTATGTACATTGTATAGCCTTTTCAATTTAGTAGGTTATTTTGTAAATACATAGACTGTAGGTGCTTGCTTGTAAATATTCTATGTGTATAGAATAAGTCGGCTGATGATGATGTATGTATATATATATATATATATATTAAAATGTGTTGGCTGAGATAACTTAATCAGACACATTAATCATACTTTACAGTTAATACACAAAATCTTCTTCTTCAAGATTCTCTCAAGAACAAACCCTAGATTCATCAATTTTTTGTTTGCTTCCGCTGAATTTACACAAAGTAAGATAGTATCAGAGTAGGATTAAGGTCCTGCTCTATACCGGAAAACATACCAGAGTAAGATCAGAGTTCGATCAGAAAAATCAAGCCAACAGATAGGATTTCTAAATGTTGAAGAATCAAAATTGTGGGCATAATTTGTTCGCAATTGTAGAAAATGGCAGCGAATTGTGCTCAAAATCAACGTGAGGAGCTGCAAAGAGGAGATCGAGAAATCACAAGCTGTGGCGGTTATCAACATCTGCTTATTTTGCATCTTTCAGACAATTCCTCTCTGATAATCATACCGACGAAGCTGACGGAAATCAACTATATTTCTAGGAGTCATGCTATGAGGAGAGCCTTAGGGACAAGGAATAAGCTCGGATTCATCACCGTGACAATCCGTCGTCACTACTCGCTAAATATTAACCTATTCAAATACTAATATAGCACTAGGTAGGGTTGATCCATAGAGAAGGAAAACGAAATACCGATTATAAACTACTCCTTTTTAATATTTAGACTAATGATGATCTCAAATTTACAAACTTTCAAACTAAAACAAACAAAAGAGAATAAAAGCAAATAGTATTAATTCAAATAATCAAACAAAGGAAACCTAGGACATTGGGTTCACCTACCGAATACTTGGCTCAATTTTAATTCATAAATATTTGGGTTTGAATTTTCATTAATGTCACAAAAATTCACCTTTTTAAGAACTATTCAATGTCATGATATAATTCTCTTACTCTAATTAATCTTATGACTACTGTCATGACTATAGGATATAACTAAAGCACATTACGATATTAAGAATTACTAGTTGCAAAAGCAATTCTCTTACTGTCGTGGCTCACTACCTGAGTTTAATATTTCTATGGACTAGTGTTAACTTCAACTATCGTTCCTTCAGTTAAACACCTCTAAACATACAAATAATGGCCAGCTACTTACATGAATTATATCAAGAATATTAAATATTGATCAAAGAAAAAACCAAAATATAATGAACCATAATAAACCAAATATCGGCTCGAACAAGAATGCAAAAATCTTTTTCCCGAAAATACCTTTTTTTCTCTCTAGCCTAAACCGTAGTTGTGACGGCGGTTGGAGCATCGGCCATAATGGCCGGAGCTCAAGGATCGCCGGTGCGGCAAGAGCTGTCTAAATCATTTTCTAGTATCTTCAAGAAGCCTAATGATGTGTCAATCCGAAAAGACTCTTTAATTAAGGAGATAAGCTTCGTCAATGGCACTCCAACTTTGGAATTTGAAGACGATGAATTTGAGAAGCTAATTGCCCCTCATCGTTTGTGCTTGGTTGGAAAATTTTCGTATGGGAGACCGAAAATGAAGGAAATGCACGACGAATTTAAGAAGATCGGTTTCAATGGTGGCTACACATTGGGTCTTATGAAACCTTGGTACGTGTTGGTCCGTTTTGAGCAGGAAGATGATTATCAATGTTGTTGGATAAGGATGTTCTGGAACATAGGTGGATTCTCAATGAGGATTTTGAAATGGACTCCGAGTTTCCATTTCAAAGAAGACCCACCAGTGGTGCCTGTTTGGGTTTCTCTTTATGACTTACCCATTGAATACATGCATCTGGAGGTGATTTATTCGATGGCTACTGCTTTAGGCCAGCCTTTGAAGGTTGATACACTCACCTTGAACATGACTCGCCCCTTTGTCGCGCGGTTTTGCATTGAAATTAACCTAACCAAAGATTTGCCGAAATCGGTTAGGGTTGGAAAGAAGGGTTGTAAACATGAGCAATTATTAACCTTTGTGCACATTCCGTCTTACTGTGTTAAATGTAGTAAGATTGGTCACAAGGATCCGGAATGTCGGATTGGAAAGCCTCTTCAGCGGAGAAAGGATGTTGAGCCCATAGTCGTGAAGAAGAAGGGGATTAAACTAGCTCCGTCGAAACCTAAGTGGTCTTTCCAAGGAGGGAGTGGTAAGCTTGGTTTGGATGTAGAAATTCTGAACTTAAACCTTTTGATTTGTAAAGGGATTGAACCAGAAGTGATGGAGTCGTCTGTTCCTTCATCGCGCCCTGCAGAAACCCTAGATGCGTGCGCCCTTGAAGCCAAAGTTGCAGAAACCCTAGGGTAGCGACGGCTTGAATCGGCTTCCGGTTCGACGATGAAGGAGAAGGAGCTAATTTTGGTTGATCGTTAGCCGTCTCCTGAAAGGAGTGAATTGGTGCCTCAATCAATGATCAACCCAAATCCTCCGCAAACAGGAAATATGTTTTCGGTGCGGCAAGGTTTAGATGAAGGTGATAATGAATTGCCTTTGGAGAAAGACAAAAGTGCAAGCTCTGCTGTTTCCTCTAATATACTCCCTGCTACGGTGACCACAAATCGTTTTGCAGCACTGGAGATAATAGAGGAGGTGGTGAACGAAGTTGTTAGTGTGGAACGGGAAGAGTACGTTAAAGATATGTATGTCGAAAACCCTCCGACTCAGCATGAAATTCAGAATGATAATGAGATAGCTGGTGACTCCCATGAGGTCCTGATGCTTGAGAACTTGAGTCCCTTGGAATCTGGAAAATGTTTGGACGATGGTGACATAGGCAAAGTCTCTAAACCTATGGAAATGGAAGATGTTGACAGGGGCGTCTGGTCAGATGGTGATGCTGACAACGTTCATGTGACAGGATCAGTGCAAGGGGAAGGTTATGTACACAAAAAGCATGGTCAGAAGTTGAAGGAAGAGAAAGAGAAAATGCAAGAAATGTAAGGGGAGTTGGCCCTAAGGCGGTCTTTGCGGCTGTAGTAGAAGGTTGCGTTTTTTATATATTTTTCGTAATGTTAAGTCAAATAATTTGGAACATTAGAGGAATAAAAAATCAAGCGTCCCAGCGACATTTGAGGACTCTTATTCAATCATATAGAGTTTCCTTTTTAATAATTTTGGAGCCTATGCTGGGTTCGGATCAACTTGAACGCGTTCGGAGAGAGTTGAATTTTGATACGGGTTTTGTTTCCAGTACTAGCAAGATTTGGGTGTTTAGTCAGCGTGAGTTTTCAGTAACTATGTTGGAGGAAGATGTTCAGGTCTTGCATTTTGAAGTATCTCATACCAATGTTGCTGAAAAATTGTATCTCTCGGCGGTGTATGCTAAAACCACCAGATTGGCGCGACAGTCTTTATGGAGGAATCTGATTGCATTTCGGCAGAAGTATGCAAATTCTCCATGGATGGTTTCTAGGGATTTCAACGTAATACCATCATTGGACGAATATTCAGGTGTTTCTGTACATGATCATGTGGCTATATTTGAATTTAATGATTGTATTTTTGAATGCAATCTTCTGGAGCTTCCGACAACGGGAGAAGAGTTTACATGGGGTGGAACTAGAAGTACAGGATGGATGAGCAAAAAACTTGAAACAGTCTTGATCTCCTCAGTGGAGAATTTGAATAGGACTACGTCTGATCATAGTCCTTTGTTGCATTTATTTGTTTCACAAGGTGAAAGCAAACCAAAAATTTTAGGTTTCAGAAAATGTGGTTACATCGGGACGATTTTAAGGGAATTGTTAAAGATTGCTAGGATCAACCAATGGAGCAAACCGGGATGCTTCGTTTCTCCTTGAAACTCAGACGTTTAGAGTTGAAACTAAAGGAATGGAATAAGGAGGTGTTTGGGAATGTATTCAAAAATTTGAAACTTGCAGAAGAGAATGTGTTGCGCCTTGAAATTATTCATGATTTATAAAGGTTAGAGCATGATAGAATTAATCTTAATGAAGCTAAGGCTAATTTTCTTTGTAAGATTAAAGAACATGATGACTTTTGGTCTCAAAAGATGAAGCTCTAATGGTTAAAAGAGGGGGATGCAAATACAACGTTTTTTCATGCGACCTTAAAGGAGAGAAGAGTCAAGCAAAGTATCTTTAAAATCCAGGCTGAAGATGGCAGAATGTTAACCTCTAGTTCTGAGATTGAACATGAGGCGGTGAGGTTTTCTACAAGCCTTTTAAATTAAGTGGTTGATGAAATGAATGAGGCAGATAGGAATTATTTTTGGAGCATATTCCCTCCATTTTGGCTTCTGAAGATGTTCCGATGTTGGTGCGAGAGATTAAAATAGAGGAGCTCAAGGAGTTGATTTTTAATCTGAGTGAAGATAGTGTGTCAGGTATTGATGGTTTTGGTAGAACGTTCTATAGAGCTTGTTGGGACATTGTTGCAAATGACCTTTTGTTGGCTTGTCGTGAATTTATGTTCGGTGTACCTCTGCCTAGAGCTATCTCAAGCAATCTGATTACTCTTATCTCGAAGAAAGCTATGGTGAATACTTTTTCGGATTATAGACCCATAAGTCGATGCAATTTTCTGAATAAGGTATTTACTAAAATTCTTACTGAAAGGTTGAAAAATGTTTTGCCAAAACTTATATCGGAGGAATAATCAGCTTTCTTGGAGGGTGGGGATATATTTGATAATGTGTTGTTAGCACAAGATTTACGTCAGTTTCTGAAAAAGAAGTATGAAGGGAGGAATTTTATTCTTAAATTGGACATGATGAAGGCATTTGATAGAGTAAAATGGAGTTTTTTTTATAGAAAATCTTGCTTAAATTTGGGTTTCCACAGGCCTTTGTTCTCTTGATCATGAACAACCTGCGTAGTAGTTGGTTCTCTATCTTGGTTAATGGAGGTCCGGTTGGCTTTTTCCAATCATCTCGGGGTATAAAACAAGGAGATCCCTTATCTCCGTACTTGTTTATATTGGTTTTGGAAGCTTTGTCGAGAAGGCTTAATACTTTAGTGGAATCTGGAAGAGTAGCAACTTTTGGGGTTCCATTGAGCTCAATGATTGTTTCTCACCTCGTATTTGTGAATGATCTTATAATTTTCTCGCGGGGTTTGAATCAATCTCTACATCTACTTAATGCATTTTTTCTTGAATATGAAAAAGCTTCTGGCTAGCGAATTAATAGACAAAAGAGCTCGTTCTTGGTTGCTGAAAATTGTCCTGCGCAACGGGTTGAGATTATCCAAACTGCTTTGGTAATTCAGAAAGGGAGCTTTCCTTTTGTTTACCTTGGATGTCGTCTATTTTAGGGAAGGCTCAAGGCTTGTTTTTATCAATTTCTCTTGGATAAACTGAATAATAAGCTTTTGAGCTTGAAGAATAAACTCTTAAGTCAAGGTGGCAGACTCATATTAATCAAACATGTCTTGGCCTCTATACCAATACATGTTTTTGCTGCCATACCGTCGCCAAAGGCAATTGTCCAGGAGATGGAAAACATTTGTTAGAGGTTCTTGTGGCGCGGAACTAGTGAAGAAAAGAGGAGACATTGGCGGGCTTGGGATAGGTTGACTTATCCAGTCTTGGAAAATGGCTTGGGAATTCGAAGTTTCCATGATACTATTGAAGCTTTAACGGTTAAACTCTGGTGGAAATGGAAGCAACAAAAGGGTATATGGATTAGATTTCTGAGTTCCTTATCTCTTTCATCGTGGGATATTACATCATGGAAGAGAATCATGAAGGTGGAGCAGCGTGTGATCTCCCATACGAAAGTCATTGTGCGAGGAGGGAATAGATCGTTTTGGTATTATAGTTGGTCCCCCTATGGTGTTCTTTGGAATGATCTTCATGAAGAACCTCCTTTTCCAAAGCTAAGTATTAAAGAGTTCTTCCATGATAAGCCTTTTTACTTGAGTATAGTCCAAGATGTCCTTCCACTTCATATTCTTTGCAACCTTTCTGAGTTTTGTCATGATTTTCAAAATGAAGATAATTTGTTTTTTTGGCAGTGAACATCTAGTGGAACTTTCACAGTCAAGTCGGCTTACGAAGTGATGTGACGTAGGCTTGCGGAGGAGAATTTGATGAAAAATGTGTGGAACTCGCTCGTCCCTATGAAAGTATCGATTTTTCTGTGCAAGTTGAAGAATTATTTGTTGCCTTTCCCTGAGGTTTTGAGTAGATTCGGAATCCAAATATTGCCTTCAATTTGCTGCCATTGTTTGGCTCATGGTGACGAGATTGAACACACCTTCATTGGGTGTCCGCAGAGTCAAGAGGTATGGTTGCATTTTGCGTCTTTGCTCCAACTTAATATCAGGGGAGTTAATTCTCTTGCTTCAATGCTAAGACTGTGGTGGAGGGAAGGAGACATTAAAACAGCTCAAGGAGCTTTTTGTAAGATTCTCCCTTCACTTATACTTTGAGAAGTTTGGCAGTCGCGCAATAAGGTGATCTATGATGGAGCTCGATCTAGTGTTCAGTGCATTATTCATGATAGTATGGATCATTATTCATGATAGTATGGATCACGTTCGCTCCATTATGATGATCCATAATATGAAAGTTCAAGGTGATGAAGAGAGGGAGTTTTTCAAAACGACGCTTGGAATAAACCTAAATCGAATTGTTCGATCTAGGGTTTGGAAAGTAGCTTGGATACTGCCAACAGCAAATTCCTTCATTAGGAATACAGATGTATCTTCGCGTTTAAATGATGCCGGATATGGATTTGTAATCTGAAAGGAAGGTGGACAATTTATGTATGGGGAAGGTGGACACTTTATGTATGGGAGAAGGTGACAGTTTTAAAGCTGAAATTATTGGAGCTTTATTTGAGCTAAGGAAATGCGATTCGCTAGGGCTTAACAATGTTACGCTCCAAACGGATAACAAGGCTTTAGCTGATATATTGAAGTTGGACAAGGGTTACTTGTGGAATTATTACTCTATTTTGCAGGAAATGATTTTTATTAACCGGAATAATAATTTTAAGGTTTTCCATATATACAGGGAGGCTAATTCGGTTGCGGATAGATTAACAGAATGTGCATCTAATGGCTCCTCAAAATGTACTCTAGTCTAAAGTCTTTACATCAGTTGTAAAAGGATTATTGATACTTGATCAATCATCCTTTCCATATATTAAAACTCGCTTTGTTTGATGTATACCAGGTAAGTTTTATGCACTTCCGGCTTTTTTTTTTCTTTGAAGAACATTAATAAAATCATGAGGAGAGACGAATCTAGGGAACTGTATGATATATATGTCCATCCCTTGGGTGCATAGTATCATATAGTACTAATTGACTTATAAAATAGCTCTTGGGTATACCCCTTGCAGTATTTGATTTATAAATCAATTGGGACCTGAAAATAGTCTCATTTCCTCCCTTCTTTGCTCAAAAAAAAAAATAAAATTATAATAATGAACCAAATATCGGCGGCTACATCCAAGCCCTAAGTTAAAGAAGTTTAGTTACTAAACATTATTGAAATTAATTCAACAATTTTAATGACTAACATCTCAATAATTAAAAATAAACAAATCAAAACAAGAAAACCCGGAAGAAAACAATCCGCCCGAAGTAACCAAAAGCTAAAGATCAAATCAAGGCTGCTTGCTTTCGGTTCTCCAGGTTCGGCGACTTTCTACTCGGCTGCTGCTTGGTTTGTTCTCTAAGTGTGTACGGCTTCTTCTTCTTGGTTGGTGGAGGATTGAGGTCTTAAGGCGATGATGGTGGCAATGATAGCTGATATGGTACGTGGAGTTGATGGAGGATTTTGTGCGTGAATTTGGTGATGGCTGCCACCGGGAGCTTCGGTTTTGTGCATGAAGGTTAAGGTGGCTCCAAGGGTTCCGCGGCTGGTGGGTTTTTGGCGTGGAGTTCGGTGCTTCGGTGGTGCCAAAAACATGACCTAGCTTATACTTTTATAGACTCTTCGAAACCCTAGTTGCATGAAGACTAAGAAAT